ATATATGTTTGGTTATGGAGTAGTAGCTCGTGCACTCACTCCAAGTAAATGATGAACGTGTCACTTTTTATCCCTTGAAATTAGATATCTGTTTTTTGGGTAAAACATGAACAGTAAACCGAACAGCCGGAACAGAATTTGAATCTCGGCTTGATCGGTTATTGGATACCGAATTACCACAGTAGTTCAGCAACCATAGTACCTCGCTGACTTATATTCACTCTATGTTTTACATGTAGGAATATATATGTTGATCGTGCAAGTGGCTCCTGTGGCAGTCGACTACAAATTGAAATTTGTAGTGGAAACTAATTTTTTCCATCCATCACAGCACAGAAAACGTATTTCTGTTTGGCTACTCAACTACGAACTATTTGTCATAATAATATGAGTAGTCCAACAATCGTCCGAAAATATGTTCGTGGGTTTCCAGAAATGATGGAAGCGCGTTTATAGCAATTATTATATATGAGGTATCGGGTAAATTTTTGCGATGGTTTAAACTGATTTGTGAAAATAAAAATAAATCATCATTCCGATGCGACCTTATTTGGGTAGTGGCTGCCGTGTCACTTGAAGAAAGTACAAAACCGAGATACTGAACACGGTCAGTGAATATACTGAGGTTTGGTTTGAACCAGGTTTTTTTCAGTTAGTAAGTTGCTGCCTCCTCATAGTTCGTCAAATCCATGGGAACCCTCCGTGCACAAAATCTCACTGGTGTCAGGTATCAGACAGGATATCTTACGCAGAGAGTAGAAAATTGGTGACGCATTTACAAATAAAGCTGAATTTACAAGAATACAACTTATTTGAGAACATGTCAGCGGTGGAATCAGGGCCTCTGTATGCGGACTGCCATTTCCAAAAGGTTCCGCATGTTTTGGCGTAACAACTTGTTCCGTATCGCTCTGGAACAGGGGAAAGCTGGATCCTAGCGGTCACGTCAACGATTGCAACCTATCCCAGTCTGTTCTATCGTGTGGTGCCCCAAGACCAGAGCATGTTGGCGGACAGTTACGTGGGAATGTGTCACTTCTACTTGTGGCAGTTTGGCGAATGGAGGCACGTGACTGTGGATGACCGACTGCCCGTCCGCAAAAGTAACGATCACCTGCTCTTCGTACAATCTGCGGACAAGAAGCAATATTGGCCCTCATTGTTGGAAAAGGCTTTTGCTAAGTGAGTTTATTGACTTTCCCCATCGATGACACTTGGGTGTTGAATATTCCAACTGACCATTGGAGCTGACCTATGACGTTATTCATTTTTACTTCCATGGTTCTCCCGCGCGGCTCAGTCTATTGTCAGGCATAACGAAAATTCACAACCTTAATGTCTGCTCTCTGATGGTGATGTATATAGTGCGTTTCAAATAGCTGTCGTAATAAAACCACAGATCAACTCACACAAAATTCATTCCTATTTCGAAAGACCATTTCAAAAATCATGAATCCACACACTAGGATACGAAATTTGACACAAGGGAAAACGTGTTTGAGATAAAAAGCACCAGTTAATCAAATTCGCTTAATAAGCAACACACTTGTTGGCTTAAACGACTGTATAAAACTAACATGTTGACATGATAAGTGATACGGAACGATTCTCATCATCCGCTATGGTTATACACCGAAGATGGCGAAATCCCACTCCCAGAAAGGTAATAATTTATAGCAAGCAGGGAACTGCCTTACACAATCGTTACTACTGTTAATATTATCGACCTACTTGCTTACATCGGCAACGACGAATAGATAGTTTCAGACTGCAACACTCCTATTCAGTAGACGTCACGACACTACGTTGCACAATCCACACAAAATACGCAACTAATTTAGGTCCTTACATCCAACCCCTTAAATATGCCAAACCTGCAAGTTGCGGATTGGTCATAAAAATGTCCAGAAATGTAGGTCTACTGATTCCTGTGGGCACCGATTTTCAATCGGAATTTTTTTCTGTATGTGAAGCCAACCAACACTGGAAGGCCAATAATCACTGTACAGATGTTTCGTCTTTATTGGGAATTATCAACGGAGTTCACCTCACAAAGCTGCAGGGAGTTTTCAGCCCGCCAACACTTGGTTAGTAGTTCGAAAAGGTAATCATCCGGCCTAGCCGGCAGTGTGATTGACCTTCGCTTAGACAGGGAGTAGCGCCGCTTCTTCAATCACGGAATTCTAATCACGTGATCAGATGTCGGCTAGCTCTTTTAATGCTAACTCAGATAAAAATTGCCACTTGTGGAATGATTCTTCTTTTGAGCTACATATAGACTGATGAACTTTGAGGATTTTTGTACTGCTCAGTTGCAATTGAAGAGATAAACGGCCATCTTAGAACTCGTCACTCAAGGAGCTAGTCAGCAAGTGATCACACTATCTGTTTTCCAGTGCTATAGCCTAATCTTATACTTCAAAGCCTGTTGTTGTTTACTTATTCAAGGGGCAAGTCGACAGCATTGCGGACCAGCTTTAGTCATTACGAAAACCAAGCATGAATCAACAGACAGGTGAATGTGCGAGCGATTCCACATCCTTTCAGATCAGTTAACATAAAGTTGCGAGTAATGCGTTTCGGAGCTTCATCGCACAATCCAGTCTTGTTTTGCAAACAATCTTTGCTGGGAAGCTCAAAAGCCGCACAGCTTTTTACCCTTATCGAAGTTCCAGGGCGCTTCCCACGAACCTTGAGGTTGATTCCTGTTCGCAAGTGTACGAATTAAATTTTGTAAGCCTTTATATAACTAATATATATGTATAACAACTACAGCTGGCAGAATGGTTCTATAATGTATTTTCACTCAAACATTACGTGTAAGGGGACAGCCAAACCCGAAATTTAGACCTTTGGCTCTTGGCTTCCAGTGGTAAGCTTTGAATTCGTCAGCGGTGTCCCTGCCGAAGACGCATGTCTCTCTAGAACTTCCTGGTTTCATGAGTTCTTAGAACTGCTTTGGACCACGCTAGGACACAGCAATCCCTCTGAACAAAGGCAGACGCCTAGTTATTCTGTTTTTATGTTCCTGTTTTCTGAGTGACTCCGTCACATTTGAGTGAGTGTTGTTTATCTCCAATTTCAGAATACACGGTTGTTACAACAATCTCCGCAGTAGCCTGCAAAGTGAGATTATGGAAGCTTTTACTGGCGGTGTCTGCTTAGATATTCCCTTAAGTGTGCACAGCCCACCAAAGAATCTTCTCGAGAGATTGCGACAATATGCTGGCATGGTCTGCCTGATAGGATGCAACTTATACGTGAGTTTAGACAATGCGCTCCTCACGTTTACTTTAGCAAATGGCATGGTGCTTTTACTGAACAAAGGCAGACGCCTAGTTATTCTGTTTTTATGTTCCTGTTTTCTGAGTGACTCCGTCACATTTGAGTGAGTGTTGTTTATCTCCAATTTCAGAATACACGGTTGTTACAACAATCTCCGCAGTAGCCTGCAAAGTGAGATTATGGAAGCTTTTACTGGCGGTGTCTGCTTAGATATTCCCTTAAGTGTGCACAGCCCACCAAAGAATCTTCTCGAGAGATTGCGACAATATGCTGGCATGGTCTGCCTGATAGGATGCAACTTATACGTGAGTTTAGACAATGCGCTCCTCACGTTTACTTTAGCAAATGGCACGGTGCTTTTACTTATAAATAAAGTTCTGATTAATTTTTTTTCCTATGTTTGAGCCAAATGATGAGATCTCGGAAAAGAAGTCTCTCCTCACAGTGCACTGTTTTTTACCAAACCGCGGGATATCTTGTTACAATTGTTTTACCCATTTGGAGAGATGACCTTTCAAAAACGATCATATTTATTAGGTTTCACAAGATACCCTCATTGAATCACCCGGGTACTAAGAACACTGATCGTTGTCTGATCCATATTCTGAGTAAAACCCAGTCCTCGGGTGAACGACCCAAGTGTCCATATTTTCCGGGTGTGTGCTCATTACAAGTTAATTCACCCTTCCTCATGCAAACCAGACTGATCAGGTGCTGGTGCCAAAAACGCATAGGGGCTCAAACTGATTGCCGAAATGCCGCGGGTTTGAGACTCCTTGGTGTTTCGTGAGACGTCGTAACAATAAAACACCTGTACAGCATATGTTAGTTTCACTTGGACAGAGAAATCCTATCTGAAAATTACCAGATCTCCTCATACTACTATTAACTGTCGTGTTAATTGTTGTCTACGTTGATTGAATTTTAACACGCCCCTGTTACAGGGTCATAGGAAGTAAAACTGACTGGAATCACATGGCTCTTTCTGGAAGATCCCTAATCGAGGAGAAGGGAGTCTAGCAAGCCGACTCAGTTAAACTGATCTACTGAAAGTAACCTCTCTGACAGTAATTTTAGTGCTTTCTCTTTGGAATGTTCATTTAGAACGACTTTTTGACAGCGGACTGATATTTAAGGCCATTCGGGTGTTCATCTTGGTTTTTTTCGCCCGTTTCGCCTTAACAACTTCAATATAAAGTTGAGCCAGATTCAGTACGTCGCTTGTCCACGAGCACTTTGCAGTCTGCTCCTATGAGGCATCGCTCATTTAAGAGTTACGAGATGGCCCATTCGATTTAATTTGGGTCGCTCTTCAACAGTCCACACTCACGTTCTGCAACAGTGGTCCAGCGGAAAATGACACTGGCTGTAAACATGTACAAATCTACCACTTTGTTTAGGCTGGAAGGAATAACTCCTGAAAAGCGGATCGAGATGCTCCTGATTAAGACATCATAAGGTAGGAATCCGTCCATTTTGTATCGATTCCAAGGAACCGCAATCTTGTGTAATTGTAAGAAAAAACGAGAAATCAGATAAGTACATTGCATTCCAAGCAGTGGTTCGAACATCATTAGCGTATTTGAACTGTCGGCGCATGAATTGTTCGGCCATTTTTATTAATTAACTGAACACTTTTGAAGCGCTGTGTTCCTAATATTCGGTCACTCAATTAACTATTGTAACATTGAATTTAATATTTTAATCTGTTTCCAACAAAGCCAGGTGCTAGGCATCTCATTCCCCCAAACTTGAATTACTCATTATTTTTAGTCAGCTCCAAACTTATCAATTTGTTTCCAAGGTATACAGATTGCCAACTACTCAAGAACTAATCAAAACCATTAACTTCACCAAAATAAATCTTTCGGCATTAAGCAGTGGAACGTGGCGAAAGCTTCTGCGGTACCGGATGAGGTTTCTGAAAAACGATGAAGGAAAGCCATCATCTGCGCCAGGGAGTTTTCTTAGCTCCTAGTAAAGTTATGGAACTAGTTTCCAGTTACCGAATCCGCTGGTACATTGAGAATAGAGGGTTGATGGAATGAAGCCCGGACAGCTGGTACAAAATGTTCAAACATTTTGGCCTAGTCCTCAACGTATAACTGGGCAGAGAGTCATTCGATTTGCAGGTCGGTATCTTTTGGAAAAATAACAAAGTATAGGAACGGAATTCCAAGCCCAAAATATTCAAATTGACTCTGTCAGTAAGCATATGTCCTCCCAGTTCTCATCAGATCCGCATTTTTATATGAACAGTGTGTCGCAGCGCTTTACGCAATAGTTCATGACCTTGTCGTTCAGCTGCTTCGAAGACCATCCACATTTCTACCATCACGTACCAACCAATAACGGGAATTTTTATCTCCAAAACACCCCACAGGCATGCGCTCCCACGGCATTTTTGGACGAAGGATTGAGTGGAGGTCAAACGTACAGCCTGACGGCTGTGGAAACAGTAAGTCAGTCGTAACTTACTGAACAATTGGTTTGATGAAAGCTGGCATGTATGGTAAATTATGCAGTCACCGTATCATTTTGAACCCCACAGTCAAAAAATTGATTGCAAAATTCTGCAGTCTTAAAATCGTGACCACAAACAGAAAATTGTATATTCTGTAACATTTGTAGCTTGGTATTATTCGTCGGCCTTAACAATTACACCTGTTTAAGAACGGTGTGCTCATGCTTATCCGGGCAGTATATTTGGTAAAAGTGGGAAATAACAAAATAAAAATGTGTTTTTTGAGCCAAATGAGGTGGTATCCCACGTTTTACTGGACACACATCATGGATTTTTCGTCCATCTTTTCAAGGAACTACTTCTCGGTTGCGGGCTTGGTCTGTGCGAACGGAAGACAGACCACCACACAGCCATGGCTTATCAAAGTTTGCGATAAGTTTGACTACTAATGAGTAGCCTGTTTATTAAGCAATCCACAGCTAACACCCACGTCGGGGAATAAACTTCATACGTTTCTATGGCTAATTTCGTGTTTCGTGTCGCTTGTAAGATGTTTACACGCAAATCAATTATCCGCTTATGGTATATTTCAAAATCGCCTGGTGTACATACGCCTGTTTTCTGACGAAAAAACCTGTTTTTTTATCCTCAAGGTGGTGATAAGAGTGCAAGGAGTAGAAGGTGCGAAGAGTCTAAACGTGGTGAGTCACCTTGTACACTACCACGATTTCCTTCCGACAAAAGCCCCTTGGTCAGGACTGGCACGTGATACCACAGTGTCCTCATTGGCCACCTTTGAGAACGAGCTCGAGGTCTGCCATTAGTTAACTGTGAATAGGCTAACGAATATTCAATGAAGTTGAGAAAAGCCCCGGGAAGACAGTTTTTACAGTATGGAATTTTTGTTCACTGCAACGCGTTCAGGAAAACAAGCCCTCTAGAGTCAAAGAGGAGTCACTTTCTGAAATTTCAACCAGCTGATTTACTCCTCAGAAGATAAACCATTACTGAAATCCCATATGTCATCATACATCGACCTGTTAGTTGAGTATCACTTCACAGATTTAGCCATAAACACAACTGGTAGCCCAATAAACTTGACCTGAGCAACGAGCCTTGGATACGAACACAGGTGGGATATTTTTTAGTTGAAATTCTCATCCACAGGAACACAACTAGGGTCATGTTAAAGCAATAAACTATAGGACAATATTTCTGGGGGTTCACATAACCACTGTTGTCCTCTGTGTTGCGCAACAAAACGCATTCATGGATCCTATTAAAGCTAATCTGAGTGAAGAAACTATTAGGGAACTTCATGTCCCTTTGGTGCTTCACTGTGTTCCACCACGCCATGGCTGCTTTTGTCAGCCTCTCACAACAGTAAAAATGTCCATACTTTTTCAGAACAGTCTAACTTCGGCAAAGCAACAATTTACTTCAGCAGTGAATCAACCAACTGGTCCATCACATTAGTTTCCTTGATTCAGGCGACAAACAGAGTCACAGTCTCAATATGTGAGCCCAGTATTCGAGTAAAAAACTTTCGGGTTAGGAATAACTAACAGGTATACGAGTTGCGGGGATGAGGTGAGGTATCATTTTAATCCACAAAAAAAANAAACTTTCGGGTTAGGAATAACTAACAGGTATACGAGTTGCGGGGATGAGGTGGGGTATCATTTTAATCCAAAAAAAAACAAATACTTGAGGTTACACCAGGACACCATCTAATGCAGGCGTAGACTGTGGAAAACCTTGTTACGGATGTATGATCTAAAACTTTTCCCCACAAAACAGTGCTCTAGACACGAATTTTAGCAGATGCCGAGCCCGAAAACTACATAAGAAGATGAAATCCAAACTTGACCTTAGACGAATGCGTTATCATTTCTTCCCTCTCTTTAAGAGTGCACTTTGTGACACAAGGCGTGCAGATAGTTCTCTTTTGACATCTTCCATTTTTGTTCGGTATCATGAAGAAACTTAGCTGGCCGGATACTACTGATGATTGCTGTTGGTCTGATACGGGATATTCCGTATTTTGTCCGCCTGTTCCAACGCAATTCATCTGGAAGTAGCCAGCAAGTTACATCATTTTTGTCCAAGTTCCTCTTAGAAGTGCACAGTTTGCATGAACATTCTATCTGTTTCTAAAAGAATTGTTGTTTCTTGAACAATCGGACCACAAACCCCCTCTCAGATAGTTACTCGCCGAGGAACTTCGGCTTAGTTATTTAGATGATGCCCTTTGCACTAGACTATCTGAATCGAATGATAAAACCTTCCAGAAAATTTGTAATCCGGGGTTAATAAAGAGAACAACCTGTGCCAGATTTTTGTGCACCGTCCATGTTGTCATCAATAGAAGCCCATTTAGGTTGAGAAATGATTGCTAACCGGGGTTTGTCGCATCAAATCAGCCAAACGAACCATATCCACGAGGCACACATGAGATGCAACAACTCCCAAAAATCTATAAGTATAGTTTAGACTATGATGAATGCCTAGGAAGCTTAGCTGTGAGGTATTCATGAAACTGCTGAATCGTAACTTAATCGACTGGTTCTATAGAACAGTGACCAGATACAGTAGTTTCTCGTCAGACTGTTGAGTCATAAGAAGAGTTTAATAACTGTTGAGCAATGTGGAGTTTGTGGCTTTTTAGAATTCGTTGCTCAGAGTCAAGCCTTTGGTAATTTAGTTGTGCCAATGCAGGAGAAAAGCTAGGTTTTTCATTTACACCTCTATACATGATACTCACATCACACTTGGAACCGCGAGGTGAAGGGAAATTATCAGAGGAGTAGTTGCCCTAATAGCACATTGTTGATAACGGAATATCATTGAAACGCATTTCACGGCGATTATTCTCAACAGCTCGTGAAATCACTAGTCCTATCCTAATTGTACATGTGGTTTTCTCCGACATTTTTGTCACTGAACCTCGACGACTCACTCGCAAACGCAACCCGTAATGTGAAATAGGACCAATCGCTTGTTCGACTCAGAACCCCATGGGGCACAAGTTCGAAATGGAAAGGACCCTGGTCTGAAAACTCGCGGGAATGGGAACTGGTGTCACGGGAGAGAAAAGAAGAATTAAAATCACGATTTCCAAACAATTGCGAGTTTTGGTAAGCCTAATTTTCGAAAGATGAATATTTCACCTTAAGGGCCTTCTGTGTTTCTCTGTTCATGAGTTGACAGTACAAAAGTAGCTATCAAATTAACCCTTTATTCGTAAGTAATCCTATTCAAAGATCGACCCATTATGGACTCTAAGTATCACACTGTATTTCGGAGGCTGAGCTTTTTAGGGAAGGCTGTAGGCACGTCTTGTTTTGTAAAATCAGCAAAGGGAATTCTCCAAGCAGTCGTCTAAAAAAGGTTCCCATTTTAGTATCTCCATCACAATAATTAAAACAAGTATTTTATCCACAAGAACCAATGTTGGCTTATCTTTTTCCGACATAAACATCAAATAATTGACACTCTTCAAGATGTCGAACTATTGTATGCCTTTGTTCCATGCGAGAAACCCATACGAAAATCCACACATAAACGATACTAATTTGTTTTTTCAATGGTTTGAGCATTGTGGCGATTAGGCTACGTGTACCCAATTTACCTCATGACTTCTATGAACAACAGATTCAGCTGAGGGTTAGCCGTTAACATTTTTGGATGGATCTATCTTTTCATGATGACCGATTTGTCCCCCGGAAATAGGAGTTTTCCTCCCCTGATTTTTAGTACCCATAAGGCGGTTGCTGACAGAGGGTCACAGACGTTCTACCAATCAACCCTAATTGATAAAACACCGATTCATCCTTGTACGGTATCCCTACATCTGTTTAAATACATATTTTTTAGACTGTTGGTACTTTTGAATTGCGGCTTGTTATGAGGCGAATCATGTGACGAGCCAACCAAATGCGGCATAAAATACTAGCACAATGAGGGGATGTCTGGGGACAGTGAATCATTTTCTGCAGCTCCCCATAACGACGTTTTCCTCCAGCTGCAATGACGTGAAACCCAGCTATTTCCCATATCCTTTGTGGTTTCTTTTGAAGGGTATTCACCTCAACACTTGAAATTTCCTGATGTTTTTAATTCTTAAAGGCTTCTTCCAAGAAGTTTCATTCATTCCTAAAACTGGCTGGACACAACTGACCAAAATCTATGGTTGGTCTCGAAACTTGTTCAAGTCCAACAAAATCTTTTGGTTACAACTGGATGCCTTATTTCGGAGACCCCCTGTGACGATGAGGTAGATGGTCATCTCATCTAAGAATGGATATGAATAAAATACCACTGAGTGATTGCATGCTTTGAAAACTAAGCACAAGAATTTTGTGCGGTTTCTTTGATGGCGTTTATGTTTTTGCGTTCACATTCCATGAAACTTATCATGGATCCGGTATTCATAAAGTTAACCGACGAATCTCCCTCCAAAATGCTGGTCATTCTTCTAGTGACACTTCAAAGATGCTCTTTATCAACCACAATTGACTCTGAAAACCCCCGCAAAGAGAAACGTCACCTTCCAATGAAGACTTTCTTGCGTCTTTCTCTCATTATCAGAAGTATTTAGTCCGCTTTGGTAAGAAATGAGGGGTATTTTGAGTCCTTTTGAAAAAATCCTATTTGAAAAAGCCTGTGCTTAAGGAGATGGGAGTCCGACAACAATAATTCCTCGGAGGACATGGGTCTTTTTTAGGACTCCTGTAAGCTTTTTCAGATGTCTTTAGGGTCACTTGCATCAGACACTAAAATTCGCTTTATAAGTCCATCTGAGTGCTTGTCTTTCTGAGAAATCTGAAGAATTTTGCCCTTGTATAGAAATTACGATTCCCTTATCCATCACGCTGGTTATGGTGTTTCGAAGTGATGGGTTCAAAGACATCAAAACAAGCACCCCCAACACTCCACTACGACCATGTTTCTTGTTCGAGTAGTTCCAGATATAAGAAGTATAACGCAAACGACAGAGGAATGGGGCTTATCAAACTGGTTCGGTCTGACAGATGTTCACAGGGAGATTTGTTTTGATTTTAAACAAATTTGCAAGAGGCGCCCCATGAATAAAACAAGAACTTGGAGCAAACAGTTGATTTTATCGGCACTTTGTATTACTGTCTGTGGTGAGTATACACCGAATTTCGAACTATACGTAATTCAGGAGTAGATGGACAGTGAAAAAATTCCGTGGTATCTGCAAATTTTCTATGGCCTTGTGATTGATTATATTCTAGTGTTGCCAAAATTCATTCGAACTCAAGTTGATCCCCCGTCCGTTGGTCATCTAATTAGATGTCCTGGGGATCAAAGTCGTTTTACTCTATAAAGGATACGAATTAGTAGACTGATTTTGACAAATTACCATGCGTAAAACCAAAAACTCGTAAAGGCATGCTGGTGAGATTTATTTGTTTTTCGAGCTTCCAACAAATTTTGGAAAACAATCCCACATTTCGTATTATGACTGCCAAGACATTTAAAAGCAAAATGCTCGAAACGACAGATGGCCGTGGCTCATGCTAAACTACACTGGGGAAGAGACTGCCTGCCAGGAGTAATTTACAGTTGATGGTAAGAACATCTTAAAATGTATGTGAAGATGTATCATTTATGCTGCGCTGGAACTGAGACATTTTGGTGAATTCAAATCTCGCAGGTTTACTACAAGTCTCCTTTAAAACTGGGTGACCGTAGCAAAGGGTTATTGAAAGAAGGGAAAACACAGAGTTCTTATGTAACTAATCGGCGCATACGTCATACAGTAGGGCTGAACCAATGTAAGCGCCTATTTATGTGTGACAAGAACAGTTTATCCCTAATGTTTCGGAGTATTGGTAGCCCGGGTGCATCTGTTGGTATTTGATCAGGGGATTGTTGATCTGTTTGCCGAGTTTTGAAATTGATTTGCAAACCTTTCGTCACCATTCGAGGAGATATCTTCAGTGCACCGAAGATGTCTCCAGCAGTTTTTTCGAAAATATTTGGTGACAATCGGTAGATTTATTGCTGGGCAACGTTTTAGCGTTCAAGAGGAACCATCAAATGAACCGAACCCGAAGAACTAGACCCTTGGCTGGACCCAAACACATGTAGGTTTCCCCACCCACCCAACACTTGTTCAACCACTCTAACACACTAAAATCCCTCGGCCGACACACAACAGAAATTTAGCTTGACTTAGCTGATTGGGTCTCCTTCCGCCTTAAATCTCGACCAACCTCGGTACCTAGTCACTTGGCCTGACGAAGCTTTTGTGTCGAAAGCGAAACGCTGCCCAGCAATAAATCTACCGATTGTCACCAAACTTTTTGAAAAACGATGACCACCCAATCGGTTCCAAGTATTTTTCACGTGATTGAACATGTCTCCAACAGCTTATCCTTCCAAACGACCCAACCAATATCATCACCTCGGTTTTATAAGCGATCTGCAAAACTACTAACTCCGAAACATTTACCGACGTATTTTGGATGTTTTCAGACCTCTACACATTATGCCTTCAAGTTTATTCATCATTGTTTCTCTTCGCAGGATGTCCTTTGAAGATTTTTCCAGTTCCTTCTCCTTGATCGAAGTTTGCTTTCTGTCTCTGGAAGACGTTGCGGACGAAAAACAGTTCCGGTGTAGGCGGCCAGTGAACATTGTAACCGTGCAAGGAAAATGGGTACCAAGTGTAAACGCTGGTGGATTCTGGGAAACTACGGGTGAGACTGAGTTGCATTCAGTGGTCAATGCACTAATGATGATAACTAGGGTAATGATAACAGTACTCGTGTTGATGGTGATGATGATAAAGGAAGTGAGATGCGAAAATTGATTATAGAAACAGAGATTGTCATTGGTAATGAGGTCAGTGCGACTGACGATAAATGTCATACTCCAGTCAATCTATCTTGGCTAATTCCCCGATTCTAAACTTTGAATTGGTGCTGTTCATCAAAAATTTCTGTTTCAAATAATGTGTCTGTGGTGCTTTATGCGTTTGCGTATTTATTGTCCCATCGTATATCACTTAAGAGTGTCATAGTTCGCTCACATTAGTACGAATTTAGCCTCTATTGGATGTCCATATCCGCCTGGATCCTAGGTTTTATGTGTTGACACAATGTACAACAGCAGATGAAGCGGAAACGATATTTTTGGGTTACGCATGACCTCACCGGCTTTATTTTTAGCAGATCGTAAGTAATAGTCCAAAGTCTTTTTTTGAGTAAAAATGTACCGTATTGCCCAAGAAGTACCCAAGTGATTCGTGTAACAGCTATGCGACATCGCTGCACTGAGTTACAACAAAATCTGAAACACAAGTTTGATGAAACCTCGGGAGGCTTTGCCTACCTCATGAGTCCCGGAAAAGGTGAAACTGGTCGTGGGTTGTCCAATAGTTTCCACTAATTTTATGTGTAGTGTTCCTTTGAAAAGTACCCTAAAACAGTTTGTGAAGGCTTGTTGAGATCATTTCTGGAAAATGTAATGGTCTTTTACAAAGTTGTTCCGGCGTTGTGCGCCAACCAAAGCTTATGAAGTTACTGAGTTAGGTATAATGTGACTGCTCGGTTTCATTGAATGTAATAGATAACCCATTTCACAGACCGTTCTTGTTAACTTTGGCCGAAACTATGGGTTATCGACTGATCTTAGAAGTGTATGCAGATAAACCAATTATCCATAGAACTTGGCTCGCAAAAGCACCAATCCCACAATGGAGAGCTCCCAAGAAGTGCAAGGCAACCGTTATTCTCCCCTTGAGGATCATCATTCCGACAGGACCCTTAATATACGTTATGGTACGAATAATGCTCCGACTCTAAGTCATCGCCTTGCCGCGGTGGACAGCTTTCGTGCTGCACCGATACTGTGGGCTATACTAGTTGGAACTCAGTTCCCATGGGTAGAGTCGTGCCTTGAAGGCTAGTGGGGAGCAGCCCGAAGGATCGCAGTGAGTCCCCGTACTACAAGGATTTATATTATAAGAGGCGGGCTGGAAGTAAAGTCGTACTGTTGTTTGCAAAAGATGTGTAAAGTGTTTCTCCCAAGCTACCAGCAGGCCCATAGTTATGGAAGCAGCGATGCTGACTTAGCCCGAGAAAGGACGGGTCAGTCCTAACAACCACACAATGCGATCGTCCAAAAATCAAGCGTGGTCGCCGGCTTATTGTTCAGTGTGTTCAGGATACTTTTAAAACCAAAGAGTCCGTTGCTGCTCAAAAGGCGCTTGCCGTGCACAGATGCACTAGGATCGAGGCAGTAATTCCTTACTTTCTGCGCCCTCGAACCAGTCCGGCCCCTGCAGCCGAGTGGGTCAGACTGTTGGATCATTCGTTCCGGGAAGTATCCCCACAAAACCCTAGCGACCACCGCCTCGCATTTAAACTTTTGAGTCAAAGGCTAGGAGCAGGGTCCCCAAACAAAACCCGACATCCTCCCAGTGTGATGTGAGTCAGACCTTTGTATCAAAGGCTCAAGGTGGGGTGCCTCAACCAAACCCCTTTCTTCGGCTTTGGCAACCGGGAATTGTCACCGCCCTTCAGTACACTCCCTCCCCACAAGTCAAATGATGCCGTGCGACCCATCCGTTTGCCAGACTCCTATTCAGTCTTCCTTGTCCAAACCGTCGTCCAAAAAATCACTCACCAACCTCAAAAGATTTGATCCACGTTGCAGCCTTTAATATCCGTACTCTATGTCAATTTGGGAAACAGGAACCTCTTGCTGAATCCTTGCTCGTCCTATCTGTCGATGTATGCTGCGTCTACGAAACACACATGGAAGATCCCACTTCGGTCGTGTACCTCAAGCCAATTAAGACGAACTCAGATGACCCACATTTCGCTCTTTGTGTGATCTTGACGCAATGGCTCGTGGCGTCTCTAGTGTGGGTGTAGCACTCAGGCCCAAGGCTGAAAGAGCATTACTGGGCCGGATCCCAGAAAACAGTTCACTCTGCGTTGTACGGTTCTCTGGCTTAATTAAGGTCAATGCTGGTCGATGCGGTAAACGGTGTTTATTTGTCGTATCAGCAAGCACCCCAACAGATAGCAGTTCTGAGACTGAAAAGGACGAGTTTTATCAAGATCTGACACGTCTGTCTCAGTCGTCAAGAAGAACGGATATAGTAATCCTGGCTGGTGATATGAATTCCCAAGTTGGACGACTAAGTTCGGAAGAAGCACAGTTAGGTGGCAGATTTGGATTCGATGCTGAGCTTACGGATCATAGGGAGCGGTTTCTTCAGTTGTGTGCGGACCATCTCTGTACCTGGCGACTACGACAGACGACAGACCTGAGAATGAGATGGATAAATTTTACAAATATCTGCCACGACCGCTTCAGTCAGTATGAAGGATGGATATCGTATCCTTCCGGGTGATATGGATGCTCAAGTTGGCCAACTAAGTGCAGAAGCTGTTAGGTTTGGAGTCAACGCTCCACGTACGGCTAATGGAGATCTACTCCTTCAATTGTGTGCAGATCCTCGTCTGTTCCTGGCCACTGAGAACTTCCAACACAAACACTAACATGGAATTACTTGGAAACCTCCAACCGCACGCAGTCGTGAACTCAATTGGACCATGTGGATATCAGTTACCAATAAAGAGCGTCAACTGACCTGGCTGCGAAGTACGAAAACACTAACCAGTAAACTCAGTCGGGTGGGCATCTGCCGCCTCCCTGGCTGGGGAACCTGTGGCTCATCTCAATAGTGGTTAATGGCACTGGTAGAAATGTCCCAGGAGCAGTCAGTGATCCTCATGCAACAAAGCTATCGCCTTCAATGAGTAACTACCCAGTTCCTAAACTAACTAAAAATGCCATCGCTTACAACGCTTGGCTGAACCCTATACTCTCCCACTCTCCGGTGATCGAATCTCTGCAGCTGAAACTATTGTGCCTATGGCACATGGTTTATAGCTGATGAATTGATTAACTGATTGACACTAGGAATCGCTCATTGTAGTTATGGCTCTACCAGAAACTGGACATTGTTCATTGCAACCAGTAGACCACAGATGATTACTTTAAAACAAATATGTTCTACAGCATAAGGAATGCTGCACCAGAGAAGCGACAAGGAGCAATAAGGAAGAAACCGGAGGTGAAATAATTCATCATAAAGCAAGTTGAGCTGAAACTGCTGCCTATCTTCTACCTCAGGACAAATCAGCGCAAATTGCATCACCATTCCTACCAAAGAAGCCTAGAAAGCTTGTGTCGAGCGATCCGGGTAGAAAATGAGACCACCAAGTCTCCCCAATGTCTCCAAGGCAGCTGTAAATTGCACACAATGCACCCAGAAGTCCCAGACTGTCAAAATGCGAGGCAATCTTTGTGCAGATATCAGTGCGTCAAGTCAATTTCAACACACACTGGTTCGAAGCAACCAGGAATTCCAAATATCTGAAACGAAGCTCTCTTGTGACTCACTGTAGTAATTATAACGCTTTCGTTTTCTGACGGAATGACCAACGATAGTAGGTTACCAAATTAAAGGTGCTAAAAGGCCAAAACGTTTTTGCTTTATTGACTCCTTCTTTCAATATAACAGAATCGTACGCGACCAATCCGCAATTTCAATTTGATGTCCCGGAAAATGAGAACGAAGACCATGAGCTGGTGGTAATCAGTCTGCTGTTGTGTGACTTCCGCAAGCGTAGTCCACCAAAAATTCGGCAAATCGGTTTCCGAATTTACAGTGTAAGCCCTTTCCTCTTTGATCTATGAGTTTTTATTTTTGATTTAAAATCTTCCTATTTAAATGATCTGCCCTGATCTTTTGATGCACATGTTCATCTTTGAAATGAATTGTTTCATTGCTCCTCATCTGTGGCTATGAGTAGGTAGCTAGAATTGAAACAGTACCTTAAATCTCTTCTAATACTCACACGATAATGCCAGCATCAAACCAAAAATATCGATCGCCGTGATCACTTATCGCTCTCTGCTGAACAACACCCAAGTTCATTCTCCGTTATGAGAACATTCCTCAGAATATTCTTTGATCCGCTGAACTGAATGCTAATGATAGAAATCTCTTCAAACCACAGAAAACGTGCAAATGCATAAACACATCCCCTGATAAAACATACTACTCACGAAGTTGCGGAAAACTTCAAAAAAGTTCTGTTGGGTAAGGTTTTTCGTCAACTAATTATGCTGCCATATCTAGGAAACTGTGTCAGCTGAAGCACGGAGTGACCCGTATTCTGTCAAATCCCTTGTTAGCATCATCGTGACTTGTGAATGAGTCTATCTTTCTACAAACTGAGTTTTGTTCTGCAAATCTTTTCTAGGCACAAAATCATTAACGGAATTAAGCCCGACCCTAGAATTGAAATTACTCACTATGAACAAATCGAAACCTATCCATTAAAATCGTGCCATCCATGAACCGGAAGCCTAGCCTGAATTTCGAAAGATACCACCTGTGATAGTGACCTCACCTGCCTATCATCCATAAGGTGAACGGTAGTGGTTTTTGGAAACGTACACTTTATGCGCAGGTCCCGAATATTTGATAAACAACATACGCCACACTGCAGTTTTTGTTTGGGCAAAAGTTTTACGGTTGCCTGTTAGATGGCATGAGAGCTCTGGAAATAGGTTGTCAACCGTGTGCATAGCTTTCCAGCAGGACTCCTCTCTCAATACATCAGTATAATCCGAATGCCAGCAGCTCACGAAGGACCGCATACCAGTTTTTCGAGTCTTGCTTTCCTTTTGGGGAAAATATGCCCTGGGACGGAGAAGTTCTGTCGATTCAGGAGGCTCTGATTGGTATAGAAGCCTCGTCTTCGAAATGGAACTATAAATTTATTAAGTCAGTCACATGAACTTCTCCGCCGCTGCTTTGTTGTCATATGTCTGAATTCATGCTTAATCGCCATCCCCTTTCAATTTATCTCGCTGTACAGTTGACTCAGCCACACAACAGTCCTCTGAGTGCAGTTGAATTGACTTCGCTTCCTACGGTTTACAACACTGAATGCCAAAGCAGGGCAACGGTGACGGTCCTTCTGCAGTTGATCCAAGGGTCCTACCTGATCGTTCCAAGCACAGAGGAGCCCAATCAAAGAGGAGACTTCAAAATTCGCTTGGTCAGCCTATTCAAGGCTTCAATTTGGTAGGCATCATTTTATTCTTTGGTTAGTACATACTGAACTTCTTTGTTGACTGTTTCCACCAAGAAGCCTTCTTGAAACTGGAAGTTTAAAATTGAAACCTGTTTTATTTTATATGGCCTGACATGTTTGAGAACAGAAAAAAGACCACTAAACCTAGAACTGACTACCTCACGGGTGAAAAAATGCATAATCTGCTAAGTATTGATAGGTACGTGAACGTTTGCCCATTCACTAGATGTAACAATTGTACTTCTGTGACCAGACAACCTGTTCATTCTAACTGAAGACGTCAGGGTATGGCCATGCGTGTTTACCGTATGCCTCAGTGAATCGTTCCAACACAACTCACTCCGCGCACCGATAACCTGCCGCTTACAACCGTGGAGCGGAAAGATACGAAAGTGGTATGGTTTAAAGCAACCGCAGCCAGTGATATCATCCACCTAGGAAGACGTATCGGCCGATCTTCTGAGAAACTGCTGGAAGTCCCGCTGAGAAAAGTCCGTAGGAAATAACTCGAAATTCACTACAGGGAGCAAAGAGATGGCTGCACATCTTTTAGTGGCCGGTTACTTCAGAAAAAATGAGGCGTTTTAAGCGGAATTTTCGAGCGGAATCCTATGTGACTAGGACTTTCAATCAAGGGACGTCTCTGTTTAGGTTATCTAGGTGACTAAATTCGGCCTTGAGTAGAGCTAGACGGCATGACACGCAATCAAGTGGTAGTTTGAGACGGAACGTCCCTGATTTAAAAAGTGCGAGCCATCTTGTTTGGTCGGATGAAAGCAGACCATCCACAACCTAGTCGAATAGTCTTAACGTTAAAAATCCACTTACAAATTCGGCCTTGAGTAGACTGTATGACACGCAATCAAGTGGTAGTTTGAGACGAAAGATTGAATGTCCCTGATTTAAAAAGTGCGAGCCATCTTGTTTGGTCGGATGAAAGCAGACCATCCACAACCTAGTCGAATAGTCTTAACGTTAAAAATCCACTTACGACTCCCTCCCAAAAGCAAACGGTTTTCGCTGCACCACAAACTGATGAAATAATGCAAAAATTTGCTAAGTAAACCGACAGGCGAAGTGATTCACAAGAAAGCTTGTGTATGACTTGTGCGTTAGTCCGATAGATGGAGACAGATCGAACGAAATTTACGGACTACTAAACTGAGCGGAAAAATCAACCAAACGCTACAAAAGCAGAACATTTGGTGGTTTGCTATCATGGTATCGATCTGAAAAGAAGGAAGGCCATGCATACACATTGAATTCCACATAGTCCAAACATTTGTAGTTCCATCATCGGTTCCTCCAACAAACATAGCAATTCTCAAGTTGGGCTCCATGCAAAACTCTTCCGTTCGACTTGGAACGTACCAACCTTCAGCACATGTCATTCACAGAAGTCGAGTGGTCAGTTTATGTAAGGTCTCAACATGGCTTGCACACCACTTACTTGCTGCAACCGAGTAAACGTTTTATAAATCCAATCCTAACTAACCGGAAAAATTTCAGCACATTACATGGTAGACGATTACAAATAAGCCCCTCAAGATATTATTTGACATGCTTCCCATCAAATTACACACAGCGCTTGTTCACAGATTCCACTCTGTCCCATTTACGGTACCGAATAGTCTGTTTCAACTGTCCTTGTTTCCCATATGTTTTCCAGTCGGATTTTGCCCGAATCTGAGCGCAAAACAATCTGATAATAAAATTCTCGGGATAGAAAAAAGACCGGTTTTAGGGAATTAATGCAGTCTAAGGCCCTGTCGAGTATGACTTTTTCTACATGCTATTTACAAAACCCGTGAAATGGATGAATGGCAACTTTCCCCACTGTAGAGATTTACCGATACTTTTCCTTTTAGTCAAACGAACAACAGAAATGACATCCAGAACCACACAATCGAGTCTCTATTCTGAATTCCGACTGCCATTTTCATACAGCTCATAGAGCGAATCAAGACATCCAGACAGTCTGGATCGTACCTCTTATTACCACCTCTCCCACATCTCACTTCTTGGTTGGAAAAAGTAAACCACAACTCCACGTTTTCCGTGGCCAAATACCGTTAGATCCGTACAAACGCATTTTCTTGATTGGTGCGCGATATCCTTATAAAACCAACCTAATCTTCAGTACTTTATTTACCCCAAGTAAGGTACCTTACACTCTGCGTAGCCGAAACTAAGCCGATTTGCTTACGTTAAAGTCTTAACATGGCTTGATTAGACGTATGGCACTCCGAGCATCCAAAAGATTTTACCGCACTTTTTAAGGCACTTACAAAGAAGTAACCGCCATTCTCAGAGGGAAAAACTGTTCTTATCCTCTTTGTGCGATCCCCTTAGTAACACAAAATCTGTTCCGCTGCCATTTTGTGCAAGTTTCTTTGCTGGAATCAAGGAAGAAGCACATTCACCTGCTTCACAATTTGACAAACTGGATAGGCGAACTTTGCTTTGTACAATTATCCGCACACCAATTTGGTTTTAAAGAGAGATTCAACCGAACGTTCCTTTTACGCATCACGTTTCTTTTTATTCGTTTCGGTGAAAATGTCTAGATGAATATTTTTCCGTCTTTTTTGCGCAGAACATTTGCGCAACAATAACCCAGGTGAAATTCTTCAGATGAATCGAGTAATCAATCGAAACTTTATGATGAACTTAGTGATGAACAACCCTCAGATGCCAAACATGGCAGTCGTTTCACAAGTGAAAAGTTAACTAGGTCACATAAGGAAGAGTGTCATACTTCATTCTGACTGTTTGATTAGTGTTACCATATTTACGACTTCATGAAAGTCGGAACCATTGATGTGGCGATCCGACAGAACGCTCCTTATCAAAATACATTTAACCCACGATATGACAATCAATACATCAACAATCAGCATGCAGGTTTGCTGGATTGGAAGCGTGTACTTTGAGAAGAGGCCAAAATGACGAACAGCGTGTACTTTGAGAAGAGGCCAAAATGAGGAAAAAGGTTGGGTTTGAGCATCATATCACTGAGCACCGATCAAGACGTGAATGTCAGTTGATTCAGTCCCGTCGCTTAGTCCGAGTGGTCTAAAATGGTGTCAAAAAGTTCAGAACGAGTGTTGGGGTCAACCGTAATTTGTTTTGAATTTCTGAAAAAAACATAGGCATGCTATTCTTGGCCTTCACAAATTGAACCAAAGGAAAAGGAACTTTCTCGCCGGATATTCCCTTGTGCATTGATTGTTTCAGGGAGTTGGATAGACCCAACAAACAATTAGAAATATCTGCGGTAAGTCATTATGACATTTATAGTATATTTGGGCTTCTGCGGCTGTGTGCACCAGGTTTGACAGTGCTTTAAGTTACGGGGAGATTAATATTGGCAAACTGAAAGCGGTGATGAAAGCACTGAAAGGCCCCATTTTCATGGAGCTCTCCATTCCCTTGGTGGCTAAAAGGCCCCATTTTTATGGGGCTCTCCATTCCCTTGGTGGACGAAGTGATTTCTAGTCTGTACGCGAAGCTTGACAACTGACTTACAAATTCCTCATCGCCATTCAAACAAACATTTTGGAGCGCAGTTAGGTAGGTAGACCCACTACTTATGCTTGTGTATGTATGATTTTTGACGACGTAATCGGCTTTTTCAAACTCGCCGTCCTCATGGTCTAATGGGTTGTTTCACAACTAGTGTTGCGTTGTGGTTTGCCTCTCTAGCCACTGATTAACGCATCATTTTCCATCGCTTTATTCGCTAAGTTGTACTCTGTTTTACCCTCACGTGATTGGATATTTGTTTACATTCTGTCTTTCGTTAGCTTTTTCACTTTAATCCGAATCGTCCGTTTGTCTTCTTGCACCTGGATGACAAGTTTACGCAACTTCTCTACACACGCCCACACTGTTTTGTCTGTTTAGTTCTTAGGTTTGCAGGCTTCTAGTCCAGTTAGGTTTTCCTGTAAATTTGAGAATTTTCTTAAGTTCTGTTGATTTTTTTCGGCTTTCTGTGCGGCTCAGGGCTTGTGATTCTGGGGTTCTTTTGTCCTCGGTAGACGCAGTCGAACTCAACGTGCTTTGCAGAGTTTTATCAGCGGAGTATCAAACTTCTATACATCCGCGTTCTTTTTTAGTTTTTCCTCAACCTAGTATATTGATACGGCCCCGTTTGTGCTTGCGGACTACCTGCTCTTTGTGTGAAAAGAGAAGAGTGAGAGCTGATCACGTCTTCTGGTCATTGATTCGGGTTGCTAACCTTTTTCCCGTTAGTCCAAAGTAGTGCTTCTTAAGTCCTTGTACTAAATTTAGTAAGTACCTTTGGTCTTCTCAGTCGTAGCTGACTTTCGGTTTAGGAAGTGTTTTTAGGCCTGTACACTTAGATTACCTCACACTGCCTTAACATTCTTGCTCTCTTTTCCCGTATACCAGTTTAATTCTTCGGTCTTGTCTTTGGGTTGTCAATCTGTGACATCGTACCAACCGAAATATGGGAGGGCTTTTGTGTACCGCATCAAGTTAAATAATATTATAAAGGAGGAGCTCATCTGAGTCTATACTGAAAGAGAAATTGATGTACAAATGACTGCGCTTTTTGATATTCAACTTTACTTTTGTAGACACCCGAAAGTGGAATGCCTAGCCGGCTCGAAATTAACGGTAAACTTTGCTAAACTGAATGTTCAAATTCCCATCATATGATCGTTCTGGTCACTGAAAGCAACAAAATATTTGACGTTTTAGACCGCGAGCGAGAGCATGTGAACAGCAAGTCAAAGGAAAACAAAGCCATCGGCAGTAAACCTGAAAATAAGGGGCTCACGACGGTGGTTCTAAATTTGTCGGACTACGTAGGTAAAGCAAAGGACTTGCTCAAGATCACTGCGTATAGCCATCCGGAAGACGACCAAACTAGAAAGCCTGGGGACAAAGTTGAAAACCTCAAAGACCAGAACATTCGCAAAAAGACCGCAAAAGAGTATCAGGAAATGGGAGTGCTCAACTTGTATTTTCCACACCTACGGATTCTCAGAGATTCACAATACCCGCTACCACAATGTGTTATATTTTTGAAGATCTGTAGAAATGCAGCACAACAACTTATCTTTTTAATACTTGAATAACGACGCGATGAAATCGATCCAAACTGCCAATCTTTCAAGAAAGAAAAGTTCATAGATCCCTAAGCTAAATGCCACACAAGAAAATGGAGAAGTCAATAAAATTTGGCCTGGGAAGCACACAACCAAACAGACTGGATAGAGTATAAACAGACGGGACACGAACCAGTAAAAATCAAAAGGTCAAAACCAAACTAAAAATGGGAGTCACGAAAAAATAAATGTCTTATGAACAATGTGGAAGCCAAAATCATACCACACAGAGACGGAAATGAAAAACGGTCCGATAAAAGCAAAGGAAGAAAATTTTGAGCATAAACAAGAGAAATGGAGCTGCTTACCTAATTCCGGACTGAGAACATCTCTTGGTCCGGTGGGAAACGTTTTCAGGCTAATTGCTAATCTTGGAGAACAGATCAACTGCGGAACCGAGGGCTACTGTACAGCTGCTTCAGTCTTGTTTCACTCTGTGCTTAGTCACAAGCCTATTCGAAAAGATAAAAATTCTGCCACTTCTATCCACATGATGCCTGATGAAGAAAACATATCCGAACGCATCGAGAGGTAATATCTGAAACTTGTCTCATCGAGTATTCTTAAAGACCTCACTCACTGTTGAGTCTAATGGTCTGCCCGTTGCAAAAACTATCGAGTGTCTTTTAAAATTGATTCGAATAATTCCTGCACCTAATAGAACCCCATCTTTAAAGAACTCAACAGGTACACCTTCAGTGGGGTTTTCAACCAGAACGTAGTTGTACACACAAAATTAAATTATTTTGCCCCTCGCGACTTAGAAGAGGGAGCAGAATTCTCCCGACGTACGTCTTTTACCCACGTTACTGCGACAGATTGAATTTCAAATTCAATTTCACCAGTTTCTTAAGCCTATTGATGAGTTGGTGGACCACAAGAATGGTTAGTAAAAAGCGAATATTTCAAGAGCTCATATGCAAAGAACCACGACATCTACAAGCTGAACACCTCATTCTGGCACCCAATTTGGGCAACTATGCAGTTGGCAGACGTTCATGAAGTGACAGGTATTCGTTTGTCTTCATGACGACTTTCACACTTGCTTAGATTGACCCGGATGAGACTAGGGACAACGTGAATGATTGTCTCTTTTTCTCAATTTAAACCAAATATGATTCTGCATTTATCTCAACAGGAACAAGAAATGATGACACCTAGTGTTGTCCAGTCAGATCATGTAAGTAGAATAAATGTGTTCATTTTGTTGTCCTAATCTTAAACAGTCTGTTCACTTAAAGAATCCTTGTGATTTTTGCTTGTTTGCACGCAGAACAAGCAGAAATCAGCAAACCATCACCGAATAAACATCTTAAACGGACGTTGGCACAGAATCTCAGTTAGATATCCTATCTTCTCAATGGACCTGAGTATGAGATCTCCCTTTCACGAAAGGATACCCTCTCTCTTCCATGTGTTACTGTATGCCACAAATCATTGTGTGCTAAAACGTGTTTTTTATCAGTGGAACGCACTTCTGACGCGTAGTTGCACTGTACTTACGAAATCCTTCCTTTATAGTATAGTTTGTAGTATGAGCGAACGCGGACGACCTTGGAACAATACATTTATTTACGCCTGCATTACTGGAATTACAGTTCCCAAATTCAAGGTTTGAACTAGTCTTTTGCATTTGTTACAGAAATTGTCAGGCACAATAGAGTAAGATCTATAGAAGGGACCTTAAGCTAGGTGCTGATGCTCAGTAGAAAAACACAGACAGCATAACAGGGGAAACTTTTGAATTAAGCATGTTTTCAAACCACAGTATGACATGAAATCACAAACGCGTTCAGACTTCATATGTGTGCAGAACCGGTACTACTTGGCTGCAACTATTCAACGGTAGTTTCTGTTCACGTATCGTATTTCCCTGCTTTCGTACTATCACAGAATATTAGAACGTGCATTAGGAAATTTGACAGACACTGTGACAAGGAATCGTTCACACTTGACGCAGCTCAGTTACGCAAACTGTTCAGAGAGAACCATCCGAAAGGCAAGTTTAAAGTGTTTAAATTCCCTTTAGTGGAAATACTTAGTTATATGTTTGTGTGTAAACATCTCGCTACTCGAGGTATTATTTTTTGTACCTTGGAAGTAGATCAGTAACTACAGATAGTTCTATGCGAACTGTTGGAAATCAGAACGGATTAGGGAGTTGGAACGATCAGTTTTAGAATTTAAGTGAACTATTGGAATATTACTCCGCTCGGCCAACTGACCTCATGCCAAACAAATGAATTTGGTAATAACAGCTCAGAATGGATCNGTGCTCAACTTGTATTTTCCACACCTACGGATTCTCAGAGATTCACAATACCCGCTACCACAAAGTGTTATATTTTTGAAGATCTGTAGAAATGCAGCACAACAACTTATCTTTTTAATACTTGAATAACGACGCGATGAAATCGATCCAAACTGCCAATCATTCAACAAAGAAAAGTTCGTAGATCCCTAAGCTAAATGCCACACAAGAAAATGGAGAAGTCAATAAAATTTGGCCTGGGAAGCACACAACCAAACAGACTGGATAGAGTATAAACAGACGGGACACGAACCAGTAAAAATCAAAAGGTCAAAACCAAACTAAAAATGGGAGTCACGAAAAAATAAATGTCTTATGAACAATGTGGAAGCCAAAATCATACCACACAGAGACGGAAATGAAAAACGGTCCGATAAAAGCAAAGGAAGAAAATTTTGAGCATAAACAAGAGAAATGGAGCTGCTTACCTAATTCCGGACTGAGAACATCTCTTGGTCCGGTGGGAAACGTTTTCAGGCTAATTGCTAATCTTGGAGAACAGATCAACTGCGGAACAGACAATAAACGCATCTGGGCGACCAGTAATGAGACATTCCCAAAAACGGTCATTTTATTGGCCTATGTGGAACTGTCGTAGTTTTAATCAATATTTTGTTCGGTTAGTTAGTTCAGTCTACACAGAAAAATCGAGGGCTACTGTACAGCTGCTTCAGTCTTGTTTTACTCTGTGCTTAGTCACAAGCCTATTCGACAAGATAAAAATTCTGCCACTTCTATCCACATGATGCCTGATGAAGAAAACATATCCGAACGCATCGAGAGGTAATATCTGAAACTTGTCTCATCGAGTATTCTTAAAGACCTCACTCACTGTTGAGTCTAATGGTCTGCCCGTTGCAAAAACTATCGAGTGTCTTTTAAAATTGATTCGAATAATTCCTGCACCTAATAGAACCCCATCTTTAAAGAACTCAACAGGTACACCTTCAGTGAGGTTTTCAACCAGCACGTAGTTATACACA